TACTGAAACCACTTGTAGAACCACACATTCAGTCAAACAGTGACTGGTGGAATGTTTCCAAACAGCTGCCCAGCTCTCTGAGGTGGAGTTCCAGTTTTGTAGCCTTTTATGGGGACTGTCTCTTCTGTCATGCAAGTGTTCCGGATTGCACTTAAATTGAAGCAAGGAGGAGATCATGAATTAGCAAGTTGGATGTTCTTATTTCTTATCTGAGGCTTCTCAGGAAGACTTGAATCAGTGATGAATACATTGTGATTCTTGGCACCCTGGAAAATCATAAGGGCATGCATACGCCTTGTCAGTATGTGTTGTCTCTTTCTGCCAGAAGTAGTGGAAGCGAACTATTCCAGCCTCTCTTGCTTGAGATTTTGGTCACGTACACAAAGACTGTTGTCTGGGTAACCAGAACCCTGCTTCTTCCTCTACGTCTTCCCTATCTCTGTCCTGTTCCTGTGCACCCCAGCTAGTTTTTTAGGTTTAGACACTTGATCCAGTCACAAATTGACCACTGGACCTGCAAGAACCTTAGCAAAACTTGACATAGTAAAATGCACCTTGTTTCCTTGAGGGCGGATGAGAAATAGTTTATTGTCGTTTCAAACTTTGCCTGACATATGAAACATGACTATGCTCTTTGTAAAATCGAAAATCTGTTCGTAGGTGCTATGCTTGTAGATGAGTTGCTTGGAGTGAGGGGTTTGGGGGGAAGGGGGAGATGTTGCATACTTTTTTTTGTTCTGTATGGACAGTTTTTACGAAGTCTTAAATTTTCCTGCGTTTTGTTCTTCTCACTTGCTGTTTTTCTGCAGGTTTCTCTCCACTCAGTTGAAATGGGAAGTGTTGCGACAGTAACACCCAGTTTTGAGGGCTTATCACAAGATGTTTCTCTGATGGGCGTTTATCTCGTTGGTAAAGCAGGGGCTCTGATGTCAGCATGATGAAAGATAACTTTCCCTCCTTTCCCTGACTACTTGTCAGTGCTTCGTCTGCTTCTTGCAAATGTAGCTGGAGTTGCTCTGGGAGGCTTAATATCCTTATTAGCACTTGGGAAAGGATACTGGCCAGTTGCAAGCTTCAGGTAAAAGCAGGAGCTCTCTTTGAGGCTCTTCCCTCTTGCTCTGAGCATAGTGAGGTGAAAGTCTGAAGCCTTGCAAGAGCAAATTGTCTCAAGTGGTTGATGGACAGAATCGGAGGTGTTTACAGACATCAGCAAGGGGCAGGTCTGCACACACAGAACTTAAGAGACAAGCTGTTGCCCAGTTGTGCCATTAGCATTAATATCTGGGTGACAGAGTGCTCTGGACAGACTCCTGACTTGTTCCAAGTATTCACGTGTCCTGTGGTGTAAGGGCTGACTTGTGAGAGACCACAGCTGTTGGCTCCATGCTGATAGCCCGCCAGCTTTGCCAGGAGGAAATGGATGATAGCGCGTGCTGTGTGTGCTCTACAGCAGCAGGTCAAAATAACTGACTGCTTCATGTGAGTTTCTAAAGCTGCTGAATGGCTTTTGAAGCACATGTCCATGCCTGTATTTTCCCTGGGCTTTTCCCTGGGTGAGTGTCTGCAGAACAGCTGTGCAAAGAGCCCAGCAGGGCAGACAAGAAGGGTGTGAGGCTGCTCTCTGCAGCTCAGACTGCTGATGCATCCTGGAGGGGGCCATGTTCTTCAAGGGGAAATGTGGTTGGGTTTCTTGGACCGCATCTCCTCCCCTTGCTGCTATTCTCACAAGTATTTCACACACTGTCAAGAGGGGCCTGAGGTAGCCTCTGTTTAAAAGGGAACAGAAAGAGAGAGCCTCTTATGAGTGTTGACCTACAGCACATGGTCATGGAGAAGCTTAATTCAGGTATTCACTTAACTTTATTGAGTCTGTTGATCCCCTCAGTGATGGCCTCTCTAGGCTGGCTATTATTGCAATGTTGTAACTGCAGAATCTGTATATGTAAATGGGTTGTCATTATCGAGTATCTTAGTGAGTGGGAAACCTGCCCTAGCAATGTCTTGGAGCATGGATATTATCAAATGTAATGGGATGATTTCCTCTTCCAGTGCTTGCGTGTTCATCAGTCAGTCATTAGCACATGACTGGAACTTGCAAGATGAATCATAGGATCACATCACTGCTTATGTGGGAATTTGGTACATTGCAATTTCAGTATTTTCTGAATGAAAAACCAGATGAATAATTCATACTTGAAACTCAGTGTCCCTGTTCCTTTAGCTATTAATCCAATTACTGATTAACATTGTGTGCTTTTTCCTGTATTACCTAACAGCTCTGTGTTCACGTGACCTCCGGGCAGTCAACTCTGTTACAAGAATGCAGAAGTGCAATGCCAGAACGTCTTAAAAGCTCTAGTTATTCTTCATTTGCCAAGTTGTTTCTGGTATCAAATAACACCATTAAAGCAGAGGAACCAGGGGGTTTGTTCTCTCCTTGCCCCCCCCCCCCTTATCCTTGCTTGCTGTGTATGTTGTAGCTGTGATCCACATCTTTGGTTTGATTGATTTTTGGTTTGATTTTTCTCTGAAAAGGACCACATGTCGGCCAAGTGAGGTAAAAATTACCCCACTAATGGTTCTATATTGGGTTAGGGATGAAGTCCTGAGGATCAGGATGCTGGCAAGTCTTATTTGTGCTTATTTTGAAGGAACATCAATGTGTTGCTGTGTTTTGGTCGTCATTGGCTCTCTTACCTGCTGTGAGCTCCGTCTTTCTGATTTAGTCATATTGGAAGTAACCAACAGAGATTACAGAGTCACTATTCTAGTAACAGTTGCCTATTCTCCCAAAAAGACCTGGCATCTTGCTCTCCATGCGTCAAACACCTGAATTGACAGCTGTCATATAAGGGAAGGATATGGGACCAGTGCTTTTTCTCCTGTATGCAGCAGGGCACTCTCAGGTGGGAGTATTCCATGTTTCTCTAAGAGAAGGGTTCCCAAAATGGGTCTGGCTCTTGCAGCTGATGACTTTGAACAGTATAAATTGAAATACTGAGTTAAGGAATAGAATGCCTAAGTTAATTTTCTCTAATACTTGATACCAATCTGAGAATTGCAAAGACCACTTTCAGTATAGCCTTCAGCCTTGTGTTGAAGCAGTTGCTTAGTCAAATCTTCAGATTTGGTCCAGTATTAAAATCTGTTTGCTAAATTACATGTACTGTTCTAGGTTTCTTTAAGAAATGTTGATGTTAGTGGTCATGCTTTACTTGAACTTCAGAGTTGCAAGTTTTTGACTCTATTCTTTCTTCAGCAAACCTTAAATCAGCAATCTACTTGTTCTCATATGAGTAGGCTTATTTGCCACGTGGAGAGATTCACATACTTGGTTAAGTGTGTGTGCACCACAATTTGTGAAAAAAATTTCAGCTGAGTGACTTGCTAAAGTTTTGTGGCTTAAAACTTGTCTTCTAAAAGCAAAGTTGATTTCATACAATTCCTAAAATCCCATTTAAATGTATCAAAAATACCTTTTAAAGAATTATGTGACAAAGCACGTCAAATATCCTAAGTTTAAGTCTTTGGTGGTAGTAATAATAATAATAATGAAGTCTACATTAAAATTCCTGACTGACTTCTAACTTCAGTTCAAAACTAGGGAGGCATGAACTCCTTATGGTGGCCCACTTACAGTTATTTTGGCTCTCTTGATTTGTGGGAAATTGATGTACTTAGAGATTGGGGGAGTCTGAGTGAAATCTGAATTCTTGGCAGCTTTGCTGTATGGATGCCACAGGTGTGACAGCACAGTTGATCACTTAGGTCTTTCTCATGAGGACTGAGCATTTTAAATAGAATATTTCTTACTAATGTAAGAACGACAGACCAAGTTGGAGATTTTATCTGGTAAATATTTTGTACAAGTCTTTAAAGACGTGTTTTATGCTAAATAGTAAATAACACATAAGTTCCAAAGTTACTCCTTACAAAGGCTTACAAAGTTTGGAAGTTCTGACCACAGGAAATAGTTTTAAGAAGTCATGATAGTCTTCTGACAGAACTGAGTCAGTGACTCTCACCTTGTGTTCTGGGAGATGGGCAGGGAGGGAAATGGTGTGAACCATGTGAATCAAGAAGCAGAAACTAGCTAGAAAAGTGTTATGTACTAAGTAGCTACGTAATTGTCTTGTTTCCTTTCTCTAGCTGAGAAAAGTATTTCCTGGCAGGGATAGGTAATCCGTTTCCATTCTGGCTAGGTTTTTTTTTCAGCTAGTGGTATCGATTCAGTTTGTTTGCACTTCTATCAATATCCATGCTGGTTTGGGAAACAAGAGTGAGAACATTATTTTGTACACATGTATGGTAGGCTTACACGTCTTTATTCTGCTCTTGATTCTGTTTTGGTAAAGTGCTGTTACTTTTCAATGCAAAGGTTCTGGTACTTTTCAGTTTCACTCTTGTATAGATACTGGAGCTTATGGCTCCTGCTCAATGAACAGAACCCCTTCAGACTACTTCACGTTTTATTTTTTGATTCAATAATGAACTTGGGAGTTGGGTAAGCAGCATTGAGAAAACTAAAGATGCTACTGAAATGACAAACATTGGTTTTCATTATTTAATTTAGGAAAGTAAGACTAAAGGCTGCTGCCCATCCTACAGTGCCTCAGAGTGCTGCTTGAGTCAGATGAGTTCAGATACTGATCATTCTTATATTAGACATTCACACGCTAATTTTCCTGTCTAACATGAGGGGACTGTCCAGCTCAGCAAAGAGTGCCACTGTTGTTTGTTCTGTAAGCATATTCAGTGCTACTCTACTCTTTTTATGTCTTTGTGAATTTCCCCCTCAAATCCTCTTAAGGGAAAAAAAAAAAGAGGAAACTCTGTAGTTTTGCTTTCTTCAACTAGATCCCCTTTTCTGAGCATTGCTTTGGGAGGAATAGCAAGTTCCACCCCACCACCTTCACAGCTGTTTTTCAGGATGGATATGTGTGATAAGCATTTTCAGCAAAGGGGAGTGTTGCAACAGGACTGTGTATACTTTATTTTAGACTCAGGCTGTGACTCTGTGACTGATACAGAAACAGAAGACGAGAAGAATTCAGCTGACTCCCAGAAACTTGCCATGAGTGAAGAACATGAATCATCCAAGAGCACTGGGGACGGTCCAGTGGTGCAGCCCAGCCGCATACAATGTGGGGTACTGTATGTCCACTCCTTGGGCTATGTTCTTACTGTGAGCTGGTGCAACGCATTATGCTGCTTTGTAATGGTCAGATTTAGAGGCCTGGAAATTATCCCAAATTCTTCTTCTGTCACCTTCCTTCTCAGCCCCCTGTTATCTATGACTCTTGTTTCATGGGCTTGGCTCCCTAGGCCCAGGAGTAACTTGGTAGCTGCGGTGCTTAGTGCTGCCTAGGCTGTGGTGTCACTTAATGACTGTCTCATTAATATAGCTGCTTGGCTGTTGGGATGCAGGTGCACACTCTTCCCTTCCTCTGTTCTAGTGGTAAGTGGAGTAAGATGACTGTAATGAACTGATTAACTCCACAGTCAGTATCCAGTCTAATATGGCAATTCTGGTGCATGCTTGCAAGTGACACTGAAAAGCTTGGATCATGGCTTCTTGCCTGAAAAACAGTACTTTTTAAGTATAGCATCTCCTCAGATAGAAAGAGTCTAGGTTTCTTCTGTTTGTTTAGCATGTGGCTGTGCTGCTTAAGAGAAGAGATTGATAGAGCTGAAAGTAAATAATTTTATAAATCTAGCCCTAATCAGTTTATAAATCTATCTAATTTATCTGGAGTTCTACCAGTTTAATGCTTGCATCTATACTGGTGCATGCTGTAGCAGAAGCCACCTGCCCGGTTAGTCTGTGACTGGAAGATGCTCCTGAAAACAATTAAAAACTGTGAAAATGATAGATAGTAAATGATGTGTTAGTTGCAATGAGAAAAAAATCCCTAGAAAATTGACTTAACCAAATAAGTGTTTTTATTTTGAACCTGTGTGTTGTAATGCCTTTTGTCTTAGGTGCAGACAACAGTTTATATTATCATGAAATGTAAACTAGATGGTGAAATGAAAACTGAAGTTGAATTTTCTCCAGAGAATTCATCTTCTGTGCGTGTGCTGGCTGAGTTGGAGAATGAGTACACAATCTCTGTGAAGGCTCCAAGTAAGTTGGACTGAGTTTTTCTTTTTTCTTCCCCTCACATTCCATTCCCCACTGCTTCGTTTCTATCTCAACCTGCCTGTCCTGAGAAGTCCCAGGGGGATAAGGGTAAAGATTGCAATGCAGAAAAACTTGAGTCCAGAAAATCTTGAACTTGCATTCTCACCTGTGATACTTTTGATGAGGAACTGAGAGAAACTGCTGCTTGTGGGTTCTGTTTTCCCCTCAGCAGCAGAAGGGTTGCAGGGTGGAAACACCTTGCTGGGAGTTGTGAAAACAGATTGCAGCTTGTAGAGCACTTTGAACTTAGCTGTGTGTTATGAGCACCACCATGTTAGCGTTGGCAGGGGACCAAGAGAGAAGGTAAGTGCCAGTAAATAATTACATGACTATAACGGCATATGTTTAATGTGTAGTGATCTCTGTGATCAGAGCTGAAACTATTCTGGCTTGCCTTTTAATTTAGGTGTGTTCTGTCACTCAAAATATTTACATTTACAAAACTGAAGGTTGTCTAAACTTTAGGTTCACTGACTCTTAAAGGCATGATTTCAGAGACTTAAAGATGGATATTATTTTCCCAGCATTATTTTAATCTACTTTGGTCTGTCCTTTTGAAGAGTCATTGTGCCATTTTCTCTGAGAATAGAGACTAATAGTCATTGTAGCAACTACCATAAAGTCAGTGAAGTGGGTTAATTTAAAAAAGGTGACCTCATGAACATATAAAGGCTTAATTTAATCTGTCTTATATCAAGACTTATGATATAAACACTGACCTGGAAACTAACTTGCACTTTGAATTATAAACATGACCTTCACATTGATGGAGTATACAATGTAAGGTCTAAAGTTTCTAAGAGTAAGAGAAATAATTTTTAATTCCTTTGTGTTATTAACTGTTTCATCATTTCCTGAGTTGTTAACATGGAAAGACTAATTTTAGTGGGATTCAAAATATCTGTGTTTCAAACAGAAAGTTCAGACTTACAAATGCATACTAGACGAACATCAAGAAGCTCCAAGGTGCAGGTAGAAGATAATCCTGTGCATGGGTGAAGTTGCAAAGCTGGAATTCCTTTTTATTGCTTTTATTCAGAGACTAGTGAGGCTGACAGAGGTTGCAAAATCTCTAGTGACTTTTCTAATTTCTCTCCCCTTTTTCCTCAGCTCTTTGTATTTATGGTATGGCTTTATAGACAGCTCCAGAGAAGCGAAGGGTGGAGAAATGTGAGGCTTTCTAGTTCAAGCTGGAGCACTTTTAACATTAGTGGTCCAGTCTACTGTTAGCAGAGGACCTAGCAGGTTATGTACATTGATATAGCTATAAAGAAGGTAGTTCCAAAGTTCTTTCCTACCAAGTGTTCCAAGATCATGACTCTTTTCATGACTTTTCATGAATTCAATATAACAGACTGTTTTGGTATCCATCTGGGGTATATCCAAACTTCTCCTGTCCTCACAGTATGTCATGCAAACTCATGAATGTTGTTTGTGCTAATGGTGGTTTTTGCTCTTTCCTTTCAAAGATTTAACCTCTGGGACAGTGCCCCTGCAGATATATTCAGGGGACTTGATGGTGGGAGAAACAAGTGTCACTTACCATACTGACATGGAGGAAATCAGCAATCTGTTGGCTAATGCAGCCAACCCTGTACAGTTCATGTGCCAGGTAAGGAGTTTAGCAAACAACTACTTTGGAAACCAGCTCTTTCAGAGGCTAGACAAGTAGGCATAAGCAAAGGTGCTTGCCATGAAGTAGCTCTTCTAAAATGAAGAAATGCAAGGTTATTTAGGGATTTTTCACCTAACTCTAATATCCCCTTTTATTGAAAGCATGGGCGTTTTTTCTGTCTCTGGAGCACATAGTTGGCTAAGGTGAGCCAGGTTATCAAACTAAAAAAAAAATGCACTCAACACCCACATTTAGACCTTAATGACTTCACAAGATTGGAATGACAGAACTTGATATAACAGAAAGTACTGTAAAGAAATAAATTGTTTTAGAATTTGTACCTAGGCATTACTAAATAAAAGATGTAAATAGTAGCATAGATTCATATTAGCTGGAAGAAGCAGAGTAACATAAAATGATTTGTTGATTCTTAGCACTTACTTTTTCAATACAGCCACTCAGTTTCCCTGTTCTGTTTTGCCCAGTTGGGGTTTTGCCCAGTTGGGGTACCTGAACCCTATTAGAGGGGTAAAGCTTGCACAAGAAAGTTTTCTGCTGTGTTGCCCTGTTGCCTGCCTGCATGCTCCTGATCTGCCATGTAGTGGAAGCCTAGAGAGTAGCCTTGTTAGACACCAATATACCTGGGGCAGGGGAGGCTCTTTCCCTTGCTTTTTAGTTCACATTGTGTTGCAGTTGGTACTGGTTGATGCCTCTGCTTAGGGAATATTCCTGCTTCCCAGTAGTAAAGAACTACTTCAAAAGCCAAATGCAGAGTTTGTACCAGAACAATTCAAAATGGACTAGTGCATACTTAAAGCAGGAGTGACATTTCATTGGAACAGTTTCAGAAGTAAGTGTATACCTGCCATGAAAATAGGAAGCAAGTTTTCTGTGCTTCCAGTTGCATGAGTGACTTTCTCATTGTGCTCTGTCTTGTGGAGTATAGAGTTCTCATCTATTGAGGTTGATGATACTCTGTTTCTACACCAGGAAGCCATTCAAGTTCTTTGTTTGACCTGAACATTTTTACCTTCTGTGTTTATACCTACTGTTTTCTGATTGTGTTAAATAATAAAAACACCATGTAAATCTCACCTTAACTGAATCTCCAGACTCTACCAAACAAAAGTACTTTCAATTTATCTGTAGGCCTTTAAAATTGTGCCATACAGCATAGAAGCCCTGGACAAACTGTTGACTGAGTCACTCAAGAAGAACATTCCTGCCAGTGGTCTACACCTGTTTGGAATTAACCAGCTGGAAGAAGAAGATATGACAGCAAGTAAGTTTAAAGATTCTTGGTTTATTTTTATATTTTCTTTGTATGAGTTGCTTTACCTTGAAGCACCTTAACACTGCAGTGTGTGGTACCTGCACCGGCTGTCACAAAAACCTTGTATCTCAGCTAGGAAGCTACATTTGATTATGTCTATAGAAAGGGAGTTGCCATTTGAGTCAGGTGACCCTTTTTTTATTACATGTATCACTCTCACTTCCCTGCACTGTGGCAGATGCTGCTATGTAGACAGCTTCAAACCAGAGTGAAAAATAATGCTCCCCAAATGTCTCTCAGGTTTTCTGCTTTGTTCCTCTCTGTCTCATGTGCCGTTTCTCTAGAACCCAGTCCTTTTCCCCAAACTCCATAAGATACACAGTGGGCACTGAGCAGTTGGGTTATTATGCTGTCTTTTTGTAATGATGGTCTAAGAAGTCCTTGCAAATCTACATAAATTTAAGCTATTACGGTGCCATATTCCCCACTAAAGGTTATAGGACTTAAGCCTGGAGATGCACAAGATAATTTGTACAGTTAGCTCGATTTTGAAACCATATGTATGCTTTCAGAGATTTCACAGCTGCTTTGGTCTGTGTGTTTGCTGTGTCTGTTTCTCACCTACTGGCTCTGTTACTACTAGAGAAAAACTTGTGTTCTAATGGGCTCCTGTTCTCACAGATCAGAGGGATGAGGAGCTGCCAACACTGCTTCACTTCTCTGCAAGATACGGGCTGAAGAACCTTACTGCTTTGCTGCTTACATGCCCTGGAGCACTGCAGGCCTACAGCGTAGCCAACAAGTATGGCCACTACCCAAACACCATAGCAGAAAAGCATGGCTTTAAGGATCTCCGCCAGTTCATTGATGAATATGTGGTAAGAGGAGCCGAGCAGGGTTTCTGCCTCATCCCGCCCCAGGTGCAGGCTCTGGCACTTGGTGTTATTTCAGCAGGAGTGATGGGGTGTAGAAGACAGACATCCAGCCATGCTGAAAGCTTTCAGGCTGGAGGGTTAGATGTGTCTCTGGAGCCAGGGAAGTTCCTGGGGCTTTTGTACAGAGCAAGTAAGATGGAAGCAGAGAGTGCCATGCTGGCTTCCATTCCTCCATCCATCTAATGAAGTTTCTGCAGGGATGTGGGTGGTGCCTAGTGTGCTCTTCTAATTCCAATCCTGGGAAAAGAGCCCCTTCATTCAGCTTGCTTTAGGGAGTAATATGGGAACAGAATATGTTTGGGAATATACAATCTGAGGTCCTCTCTTATTAGCTATAGTATTGTCAGGATTGCTTACTAGCTTATTCACAGCTGATCTGTGTAGTCTGCCTGTTCCACTTGATACCCATTTCTCCCTGCATTGGTATAGCTGTCCATGCTCAGTTTGTTCTATCAGGGATCCCAATTTACAGTTCATTTCTCTTTGAGGTAACCCCACTCCCAGAAAACAGCACTGTGACTTTTCCAGATTATGACATGGGCCTGACTCCAGCTGCGCCAAACAATTGTTTCTGTGCAGTACTTGGGTATGCGTAGAGTTTCTCTGTTCGTTTCAGTTTGAGCTGTTTCTGGCCTGTATGCTTCAAAATAACAAGGAGCTCCTTGATTCAGGTCACATGAATTCTATTTGCCTTTGCTTTAGGTTGAAAAGTTCTGTTTAATTGTCCTTAATGTTGTCTTGAGTGCTGGGTGAGAGATCTGCCAGCTTTAGTGTGGTTCTGCCAGCCAATTGCTGTAGTGTTTAAGCCTCATTTAGGAGGCATGGGTAGTTCTTGGACTTGGGCCTTGTTTCTTGACATTATACATTAGAGCTAAATAAAAGTAATTTCATAATCAGATCAGGAGGGCTGCAGAAACTGTAAATTGTGTGATCAAAATCTTTGCACGGGGGTAAGTGAGACATGTGCAAGAAGTCCTTCCAACCTCTCATTTCAGTACGGTGCTCCTCCCATATTCTCTCCACCAGCACAGTGACAGAGCTGTGTTAAGAGTAGGTTCGCCTTACTGACCATCAAGCTCAGGACAGTGCAAAGCACACAAATCATCTGCAAAAGTGTGACCACTGCAAGGAAGTGACCACTATCACTGGTAGTATGGATGTCTGAAAATCCCAGTAAACCCCTTTACTCATCTCTCATCTCAATTTTCTCTCTGGCAAAGGTTCCTCTGCACCTCTGTAAAGCATTGCTACTGGCCTGGCCCATTTTGGCTGTGGAGGGAAGCATGTGTACACAGCTTTGACACACATGCCCTGTAGATTGAGGACCCGTGAGCTGGCATTTATGGATGGAAGAATATCTTGTAGTATTGCAGCTGTTAAGATGGCTGTACTTGCGACATAATTGGAATTTGGGAATAAGGATGGGATGAAGCTTTACATTTTGCTTCCTTGTGTGTAATTTGGTGAAGCTCTGCCTTCCCCCTCGCTCTATGTTGCAAATGCATAAGAAAGGATTCTGCTTTCCTGTGAACCAGAAGTTGCCTGTATTACATGAACTGCTGTCTGCTGTGAGGTTTCCTGTTAATATCACAGAAAAGGGTCTGTGTACTCCCACTCTGGGTGTTACATGCTGCTGCTAATGCCAAGAAACTGAAACTCAATCTACATCAAAGCTAAAACTTTGCTATTTTGCAAGTGCTCTGCATGTGATAAGCTTTACCCCTTACGGTTAGCTATGCATGCCCCAAAATAGCCTTTGACCACCATTTGTATTTTTAGAATGAGCTGTGCTTCTGTTCTGGGAGTTTGCAGACATTGGGTAGGACATGAATGTGATGGGGTGAGTAGCTGTAATGGCTACTCAGAATGTGTCAGCAGCCCTTGTTTCACCTTTGTTACCTAGTAATACAACATAGATCTCGAAAGTTTGGCCCAGACAGCTGTAGTGGGGATTTAAGACACTTGAGAAGTCTTAATCTTTGGGAATGAGCTGTCTTCAGAGGTTTTTTCCATCACTGATGAAAAAGTGAGGTGTTTTTTGTTTGCTTTTATTCTCTAGATTGTTTATTTAAAAGTGACTTGATTTTTTTTTTTTTTTCTTACCCTCCTTCCTCTCCAGGAAACTGCTGATATGCTAAAGAGTCACATTAAGGAAGAGCTGATGCAAGGCGAGGAGGATGAGTCTGTTTATGAGTCCATGGCTCATCTGTCCACTGATCTGTTAATGAAATGTTCCTTGAATCCAGGCTCCGATGAAGAGCTTTATGAATCCATGGCTGGATTTGTCCCGGGTGCCCCAGAAGATCTTTGTATGTATTATTCATACAATTACAGAATCATGAGAAGGTTTGGGTTAGAAGGTACCTCTAAAGCTCACCTAGTCCAAGCCCTCTGCAATGGGCAGAAACATCTTTAGATCAGATTGCTCAGACCCCTGTCTCTCTTAGACACAGCAATGCCTCAGTTACAGCTTTTCTGCTTCCACCACAAGGAAACTATGCTGCATTAACTGACTGATAAAATTGCTTTATACCTTTTTTTTAATTGCTAGTGTACAAGATCATGAGCTGTCTCTTTAGTGTTTCGAGGACTCCCTGAACCCTGAGCAAATAAATTAACACATAGAAATGAGACTAAATTTTCTACCATGTCCTGTTTTTTCCTCCTGAGGACTGAGTTCCTAGGAACATTCTGACACTGACAGAAAAGAACACTATGTGATTTTACTGACAGCTGTGAAACCGAAAAACAAGAGCTGAGATTCTAGCTCAACAACTTTTCTTCGCAAAAGAAAGCGAACATCTGGAAATATGTGTTCCGAAAAGATTATAAGTGAAAAATCATTATTCTAATCTGCTTGGTTTATTGCTAAAAATAAAGAGCTAATTCTGATAAATATGCATATGTTTAGTTTTTTCACTATTGCATTAATATTCAGTGAGGCCAATTGGAAATACCAAATTAAGTACCTATGTTAAGCAATTGTAAATTTGCTATTCTTACTCACCTGTCTGTTTGGTCTGACTTATTCCACTGATCTATTTTATGATTCCCATAATGAGCAGAAAATTTAGCTTCTTGTAATTTAAATACCTCCTTAAGGTACTTAAGGACTTCTAGTGTTTCTGCAGTTTTTAAGTGTGCTGCCTCAGGGGAAAAGCTTTCTTTTTGAAGCACTTGTGCTTATGTGCTATATTGGTCCTGGACTGTTTTTCTTTTACATTCGATGATATTATAAAACACATTTTTATTGATTATGAAGTCCAGAAGACTGTATTGGTTCTTTCCTTGAAATTATAAACTCTTTTCTGCTAAGCGTTGTTGTCCACTGCAGGGATAGTTTTACTACCAAAACCAGGATTATTCTGCCTTTAGGTGGAGGTAAGCAGTAAATCAGGTTGGACTTGTAAGGAACAAAGCTGCTCTTGTTTGCAGTAATTCGAGTGAGAGTTTCTAGGTGTTCGGTGAGTCTGCCTCTAATCAGTGCATCTCTGAATGGGGTTGATTGACTAAGCCTCTGGAGGGTTAAAAAACAAGCTCAACACTACTAAGCCAAGCTTCCTTCTTCCAGGCCTGAAATGCCCAGATCTCCCAGAAACTATGCACGGAATTTTCTTGCAAATTGAACTCCCTGTAATTTAGCACTTTTGAACTGGACTCTGAAAAGCCTCTCTTTCCTACTTCTTCTGGAGTTCTAGTGTGTTGCCTCTGCACACAAAGCTCTGCTGTCTTCAGTTCGGGAGTCTTCTTGAAATTCTCGGTTTTCCTTACCTGGTCTGTTAGTCTTTGCCTGAAGAATATTAACAGCTTGTCTGAACAGTGCTTAAAATTTACCTGTATTGTAACAGATAGGTTTAAATTGGCACAGTTCTCAGCACTTTGATTGTCTCAAAGTGAAAGTGTTTCATTATCATTTAGAATACCAGCACACAGGCAAACCCTCACTGAAATTAATGGGAGTGCTGGCTGGTTTATCACACATAAAGGATTTAAGCTTTTGTACTGACTTGAAGGTTTTTGAGGATGGCTCACTAGGAAATCATAACTAACTTCTCTTGAAGTACTTTTTCTAGGAATTACCCTTATGTGAGTAGATATGACTGTGGTGCAGAGGATAATACCAGGGCTATTTTAGGTGTAGCCATATTGTAATAGTGTGCCCCTTCATTGTGATCAAGATGTGCTTCCACTACAGTTTTTCAGAGACTGATCAAAGGAAGGTTAGATACACAGGGTCAATTTTTCTGGCGGGAACTTGTTTCAGAATAAGGTAACAGAGGATTGGAGCCAAACATGTAACCCAAACGATCTAGTTTACATAGCAGTAGATCTATGACATAGAAATAGATATGCCTCAGAAATTCACTTATATCAATAAGCCTCAGCAATCCATTTATATCCCTCTTGTTTTTAATATCATTAGGAACATGGTTACCTAACATTTTATTTTAGTTTTAAGATCAGTTTTAGCGTTATGATAAGGTTGACCTTTTTCTTTAAAATCAGAATTCTTTATGTCAAAACACTGAATTAAAAAAGTATCTTATTGTTTGCTGTCAGTCCTTTCTCAATACTGAATTACCATCTGACCCTCTAAACACTTTCCAGATCCAAGTAATTAACTCGGCCAACTGCTTTGACTTTATCCCAATAAATAAAACAAACATGTTATGTGTCATGGGAAAGTTGTCTTTAATGTGTTGTTTTTCCAAGTCACACGGTTTCCTCTCTGGAGCACTGTTCAGAGGCCAAAACTTTCACCTGGCCAACACACGCTCAAGAATAGCCAAAATTCAGTGCCTGCTTGAAGCCTTGTCAGAACTTCTCAATAGCATTGTTAGTCACCCTCAAATATAAGCATCAGGCAGCTGGAAAAAATTTGTGCAGAGTGGACTGAACATAGCAACTTAGAAGCCTTTTTTGAGGAAAATATCTGGCCATTCGCCCAACTTCTTTGATTGTGACCATAAAGTAAAAGTCCAGTTCATTATATCATGTTATATCATTCCATGTATTGAAGGATATAATTAACAGGTTCATCTTTCTGGGGTTTTTTTCAGATGTAGAGATGCTTCAATCCAAACCAGACACTCCAGTTGCTGGAGATGAAGTTTCCATAACTACAAAAGACTCAATGCTCCGCAAGTTTTTAGAAGGTGAGACCTATTTTGAAGGAAAAATGGCAGTAGCAAGTTAAAGCAATTAAACAGAATCTGAGATTTCTTCATGAACTCCTTAAGGATAGAAGATAGCCCACACTATTTGCTTTTTTCAGACAAAGCACTAATTCTCTGTAGTACTTCACAGACTATCACACATAGCTTTTGGAAACCATTGGTCTATTTGATTTGTTCACTATTAAAGTATGTTAATTAACTGAAATTAATTAAACTAACTGTCTCTCAAATTCTTAAAGAGAGTTAGGAGATTTTTTACTGTTTCTTCAAAACAGATGGTACACGCATAGTGACAACAGTTACATGCTACTAGATGTTACTGACTTAATAAAATCCTGTCATTAAGGTCTTTGGTACATATAAACTGGATGGTTTTGGCTGTGGAATGGCCAGCTTGGTAAGAATGTGGTACATAATGCATCTGGAGGGAACCAGTATTCAGTGAAATGGCCAGGTTGCTATTCTTATAAGCTCTACTCCGTTGTAGGTGGTAGCATGGATGTGCCAGATTCCGAGGAAGGAGGTCATGAGCAGTATGGTGAAGATGTGTACTACTCAGTGGAACAAGACCCTTTTCCACAGGAAATGGCAAACAGACCTCCAGTTCCTGTTCCAAGACCAGAATCTAGCTCTCCACAGCCAGACAATGAGCTGTACATCTCCAAAAGTGAGTTGGTTACCAGTGGAAATGTAGACCAGTGAACTGTAGAATGGGCTCTAGTTGCCAAATAAATGCCAAGATCCTTGGTTTATTTGACTCTGGAGTTAGGTTACCTTTGGGATCCAATTCTATATGTGTTTTTTCATCTTTGGCCTACTCTGAAAATGTGGGGATGTTATATCCCAAGATCTTGGCCTAAGCTTGCTCTTCGTGAAAGCGGTAGCATGACAGATTACCCCAAATGGTATAAACAAATCCAACTAAATAGGAAAGATCCTGATATTATATAATAAGTATGCAACCAAGCTAATAAATTGAGACATTGCTGATCTGTAATGGTATCATTGATTCAACTGCATTTGTATAGGACATGATTTTATACCTCAGCACCTCCCTCTGAGGTAGTGTTTTATTGAAATTGAAGAAGGTTGTTCCCCTTAGTTCACTAGGCAACTTTGGAAATCTTGGTGATACATCATGAACGTTCTAACAAGAACAATAATGACATGTGAGAGAGTAATTTCAGTGACTTCTCCTTCCTGCTGTGACAGGACTGTGGAGAAATCGTGTCCAGATTTCTCTTAGAGGTGGCTGAACTAAATTCTTTGAGGTCAGTAGAAGGAGAATTCTACTGTACAAATCTTTGTTTTCTTCAACAGACTTAGAAGGGTAACAGAAGCTGTAATGCAGTTCAAAATTGTGTATGCTTGCCATATTCATCCTTGCTATTTCTGTCTTCATGAGATGCATTTCAATATCTAAAGAATGTTTCTTCTGCAGTTTTTGCACAGAAGGCTCAAAGACCTGAGAATCTTTATGTCCCTAGAGGAAGAATTAAGAAAGGTAAGGCAGAAGTTCACCCTGAAAATCCTTTCAGTAATCCAAAAGCAGATCTGTTATGGTAGCTTCATTTGTGTGAAATATGGCAGAATAGACTATTTTGCAAAGCTCTAGGGATAACAGTCCTCTATGAATGACCTGATCTTTATGACCTTTTGTGACACTGGAAACTTTTATAAGTGCAGAGTATCATGGGAGCACATCTCATGTCTTGGGAACTCTTCTTTATGGTACAAATGAGTTAGAAAATGCCAGCATCGGCAGAATGAGTTTTCATTTTCTGGGCTTGAACTACACAGGTTAGCTAGATAGAGTCTAGCTTTGTGACTGCTAAGGTAAAAGCTCTGTTCTGTGAATTGCTGAGGAGGCAGGGCACTTTAAGTAATATGTTTTGTGGTCTTTACTTAAATTATGTTTTTAAGAGCAGAGCTTATCTCTGGGATATATTTGTGTACAAGGCTACCTCTCACCTGGGCTTTTAGACCTATTTTTAGACAAATAGTAGGATGGCCTAAAAAGAAAACACTTCTTAGGAAACATTCAGTCTGTAATGCTTTTTTTTTTATGGTTCAAGGGTGCTTGATCTCTTTGTATTCAGTGAGGAAGGTAGATGCCACAAGTTTAATGATATTTTTGCTGGTGTTCTCATTTCAGAGACAATAGTCAGGCCTGTGAGGGACCTGTCTCAATCAAGTATATATGATCCATTTGCTGGAATGAAAACCCCAGGGCAGCGGCAGCTCATTACATTACAGGAGCAAGTGAAAATGGGCATCCTCACTGTGGATGAAGCTGTACTTCATTTTAAGGAGTGGCAACTGAACCAGAAAAAGAGATCAGAATCATTCCGGTTCCAGCAGGTACAGACTTACATTACTGTTTAAGAAATACAGCTATCTCTCTGGGTATATATCACAAGCTTCTCAGCCTGGGTACATTTTTTTCCTGGTTGGAGCAGGAGGACTGCTAACATAGCCCCCAGCTAGCAGAGTTCTCTCCTGCCATGGGGGAGCTGTTCCCAGCAAGCAGTTTTACAGATCTGTTTGTCTTGCAGTAATATTGTTCGTTTTTGAAGATCTGTGTACATGGAATTGGATCAAATCCATTTGGCTAAATCACCTTTCTAGAGGTCACCTAGCACCTACCTGCTGGCAGGAGACTTCTGTGATGAACGTTTAACTTGTTGGCTCTCATCCATTTCAGATCAGTGAAGACTCTGTGTCCCAGTTGGTATATTGGCTGTAAAATCCTAGTTGGTAGTTGATCTGATTTCTCCAATTGTTTGTTCATGGCTACAGGACTGTTCTTTGCATCTGGACAAGGTCTAGCAACAGTCATTAGTAAAAGCAGAGTGTTTGGGTGGCTTAACAGAAAGAGGGAGTCATTTGGAAGCAGTGACATAATGACTGGTGGAACTATCAGTTATAGTTTAAAATTTTCATTCTCAAGTTAGAGTGAAGCTCTCTCTTTAAAACCATTGCCTGCTTCTTTTGGAGCCTTCTGTTCATGCTGTGGCAGTCTGGTCTCCAGTGGGTGATGTTGTTCTGGAAGTTGTCAGAACAAAGCAAGGCTTTTCTCCTCCTAATTCTCACTTGGAAAGGTTCTCTGACGCAGGAACAGAGGAGTCCATTTTTCTACTAGAGAAGAACACAGTGCTACTTAAGTAAATTGATGTAGAGGAAATGAAGTGGCATGTGCCTCATGTCATGAGCAGCTTTCAAAGTATCTGCTCCGAACTTTGCTTCATGGTATAGCAGTTGCTTCATCTGCTTTTCTACCTATTCAAGGGTTTCCTTCTCTCAGATCTGTATATATTTCCCTGATGAAAAAGGTTGTCTTTTTTCTCCCTACCTTTTTGTACTGTAAGGTGTAATATGCTGCCACACAATGGTGAAGAGTCTTTGCTCCAAGTTGCATTTCTTCATTGGGGATATCCTGAATTCTGAGTTGTACCTCACACTCTGGGATGAATGGCAGCCTTTTCTGTCCCTGCAGTCTGCAGAATCTGTTCATTAGCACAGAAAGGACAGTGCAGTTACTTGATGGTGGGTCTTGTTTCTGTGCCAGTTGTCACAGTGCTAACAGAAAATACAGGGAGTTCTAAACCCAATCTGCTGCTTATCTGCAACTGTCTGTGGGTATGTGAACTTGACCTTAACATACATAATGAACATCAGAAAAAACTTGACTTCTGGAAGGCGCACATGGGTTTCTGAAAGGAATAGGTTAAAACCTGTTGACATGGTTTGGACTTCAGCCAGGTCTAGCAAGCTTTGTTACAGCTTGACTGCAAAGTTAGCTAAAATATAGTACTGGTTTTGTCAGAAAGCTGCTTATCTTCCTTTATCCAAAGCCCTGAAAAGACTATCTTGTGATGTTTTTAGGAAAATCTGAAACGTCTACGAGACAGCATAACCAGGAGGCAAATGGAGAAGCAAAAAAAAGACAAAAGTGCAGGTAACAGTCTTTTGATTGTCCTTATGCAATTGTGTTTAACTCACTCTCCTTAAGTGTAAAACTGTCTCTTGGAGGTTGTAATTGCATAGACCTTTCTGAGCTGTTCATTTTCCCTTACAGATTTGGAAATTACAGTACCCATTCGACATTCTCATAATACTTTGGGGAAACCAGAATGTGGAATATATGAATACGCCCCCAGGAAAAACTTTTATCCACCAAAAAAGGAGTTAAAACGAGGAGACTGGAAAACAGAAAGCACATCCAGCACAACAAGTAAGCAAGCTCTGAGTGTCACTGTCCCCACAGGAAAGCTGGATGGAATGCACTTCCCAAGCCTGACCCTGGAATCAACCCAGGGGACAGGCCTTCTGTTCCTGAATCCCAGCACTGACAATGCCACCCCAAATCTTGCATGCCTCAGGCCAGCTGTTCTAAAAACTATAAAAGCAAGTCCAGGTGTGTATCAAGTGGTTTGGACATCTTTTGTCTGCATCTCTGCAGGAGGAGAACTTGAAAGCTGAGCAAAAGATTCTCTTGAGGCGTCTCAGGGAAGGCATACCACCTGTCTTCAGTTCTTAAAAGTAGATGGCAACTGCTCTCTTATTGGAAAGGGGCTCCAATGCTGTGACTGCCAGCAGACTGCCAGTGTGCTCTTCTGGCCTGAAGGGCAGTTATATTTCAGTCTAGAAACCAGTTTCTACATGTTGTTTCTTCAATTGTTTTACATAAAGGACAGCATTTTTCATTGGTAGCTGTGAGGCCTCTTGAGTGACTTGGGCAGTCTGCATATTTTTATTATCCTTGCTTTTCATGACATTTAATTTGTGCAAGTTAAATCTCAGCATTCTTGCTCTTACTGCAGACTGAGCAATTCTCACAGAAATCATTTAGGATCAGTTTGGTCCTTTGAAAGGAAACCTGACATCCTGTGAGATTACCATCTTTGTGACTCTTGGCAAGATGCAGCTGGCATACATCCAGAATAGGTGCCAGAGGCAGGTGACTGAGCCAGTAACTTGCATACAAGCACATGTGAGAGAAGTGTTATCAAGTCTGCAGAGCTCGATGTACACACCTTGGTGCTCTTTCTCATGCTGTGATTGTGAGAATGGACCCTAACACGGTATTTAGCACTCTTAAGTGCTGCCGTTTGTACCAGCTGATGAGACTTACCAAAGCTAGCAGGAAGGTTCTGCGTCTTAGGAGAAAAAGCTCTCTAGCCACCACTTCAGTGTAGAGGTTTCTGAATATTAGTGTCCCAGTATTTCACAGCCCTATAGAATGTTATCTATTTATGACTGAAACCAGCCATAGCAGTGTAGGATATGTTTATGAGTTGCTGTCACCTTTGGAGTTGGCATCACTGATTGCAAAACAACCCCTTATCTGAGTCCATGACAATTAAATAGGTTTGCATAGATGGGTACTGAAAGTTGTTTGAACAAACTTGTTTTTAGCTTAGAAATAGACTAGGAAACATTCCTGTGATGAGTGAGGATTATTGTAAGAGGGGATAGTAAACAGTTATTTATTTGGAACAATAACTTCTTAAGCAGTCACTCCAGGAATGAATGTGACAGTGCTCAGAGCCATCTATCTTCATGCAGTTGTTAAAAATATGGGGACTGATAATGTAAGTGTACTTAAGTGTTGGGTGTGTAACCCTTGCGAAAATATTTGTTTGACTTGCCAGATATTGGCACTGGATCTTTTCAGTTAGATTATAGTTGTGAGTATTTAACCAGAAGACTGGATAGAGAAAGATAAGGTAGAAATCTAGAAAGAAAGCATAATTGAATGGCTTGGTCCTGTGGTTCGTGTTGTATGAAATGTTGAACATACGAAAACAGTGAAAATAAATGAATCTAAACAAGCATTAATTATGTGTGCAAGAATTAAGCATGAGGTTAAAAAGAGGCCCGAGTTAGGGATTTTCGGTTAAATCACCAGGGTTTATTAATCAGCTTTTCTCTTGCTTTACTCCAGGTAGTGCAAGTAACCGCTCCAGCACTCGGAGTATATTGAGTGTCAGCAGTGGGATGGAAGGGGACAGTGAGGTAAGCTCCCACCTCTGCTATGTACTGCTCTACTGTCCTTAAGTACATGCCTTTGTTTGCATGTTAAAAAAAAGAGCTCAGAGCTGGCATTGCATTGAGAGAAATGCCAAAATGTCGCCAATTCTCTTGTGAAGATACCAAGAACTAGATTCTCCTGTTCTGTAAACAATTCTCTTTATTTTTTAGGATAGTGAAGTCCCAGAAACAACAAGGAGCCGCAGCCCAGTTCTTCACCAAGTAGAGAGGATTCCTTTCCCAGAAAGGCCTCCCAGAGTGCCCCCTCGAGGTGCAAGCAGGTAAAACTAAAGTGCAACTCAAAATGTGTGCCTTCAGTGAATCCACATGGGAGCCTTGGACAGAAAGCAAGGCAATTAGCAAGGCAGAAAGTGAGTGTGTTTTTGAGCAAAGTCTACCAGACTGCTGTCTGTCAACACACACTGTTAGGAACTGTAAGGTCACTGTTTCTTCTCTGTGTGTGGAGGAATCTGTTTCCTAGTTGGTAACAAGGCTGTTGCAGTGCTGTCCCTGTGGTTCATGCACAGCAAGAGGCAGCAGTAGTGAAGCACACAACGCTTGCCATAGTATGACTGACCCAGGCAGAGTCACATTCTGCCCTTGGCAGAGATTTAGTACCTGACCCTCCTGAGAATATCCTCTTGGAACATACAAAGTGTAGTGCAGGGGGAAAGTTCCTTTTGGCATTCTCTTGGACTTTATTTTTACAAAGTTCAGACCTCTCCAAAGCATATATGTTTACACGTTACTGACCTCAAAGAAACAACTGCACTGGTTTTATAAATGGTGCTGAGGAGTTTTGCCTTCATTTGATCATAAACTTAAATAACTTGTAAACATTCCTTTAGTCCAACCAGTGCAAGTCTATGAAGTCGATTGCCCAAAAAGCTCTCTCAGTACAGATACTAATACAATTCTCCAACTGTTAAAGCAGTAATTGCCACTGTGCGGGTGCAGCAAGGTCTGTGTTGTTAGCTTGGCTTTGGCAAGGATATAGCTGGAATTTATCTGCAGTTAGTTTGAAAAAAGGTTTTGAATCTTTTGATCTCTTCCTATTGCATCTTCATTTCAGGAGAAAGCTACCATACTATCAAAGCTTTACTCCAACTATTACAGCATCTCTTTCCAGTAAAAGTAGAATTACTGCAGCTGAAGAACAGAAGAAATAGCTTGGACAGGAACAGTGCTCTGGCAGCTTGGCATCTGCTCTGTTGCTCAATCAGCCTGTTTTTCTTCTTGTGTGACTATTGATTGTACAGTATGCTTACATATGATGTTATTGCATGCAATGTGTTATTCCAAACTCTATTTTCTACTACTTTTACATGCATTTTCATTCTGTTTTTTTATAGGCCTGTAAGCTGTGAAGGCTTTTATCCTCCACCTGTGCCCCCAAGAGGTCGCTGAGTCTCTCAACATCTGTGGAATATGAGATTTTTTCTTGTTTATATATGTGTTTGTACAGATATTTTTTGGGCTGTCTTAAATTATTTATAAGTGCGACCAAAGTGATTTCATCCCGTTCATCCTCCCTGAAGCTCTGGTGACTTTTCCCATGATTTTCACTGGGACTTTGGCGTTCTATAACTTTTTTTGGTTGGAAGAATTTTGGTGCTTTAGGGCTTCAAGAAAAGGTATCATCATTGAGAAGAACATGAATGTGTGTCTTGGGAGCCTTGCACCAACACAAAGATGACATTTGATCAAGAAAGCACATGTGTCCTGATAAGCATTGTTACCAAACCTCTCAATACAGTCTACCAGGGCTTGACTGGAAACCGTGCTTGAAAAGTAAAGGAAGTAAGATGTTTGAAAAATGCTCATTATAGCAGGAAGAGGTGAATGTACTACTGCTTGGCATAACATTTTGAATACAATTACACTGACCTTTCAGAAGGTGTAGCATCCCCCTTTAGCAATTATTAAACCATGGGAAGGTGAGAAATTGTCTTCAAGAATGTATTTTGCATACAGCCTTGAAAACGCCTTTCCTTTTCCTGTTCCCTCCTTGAAGAGGACAGACAAGGTGTTGTGTGTGCTGTATTTACCATGAAAATTCCCAAGACAGCTGGTAAAGGACTTTATCACAAACCAACCGTACTTAAACCTTTTTCAGGCAGGGTGCAGGTATGGTGTTACAAATTCACATGACTGAGCTCTCAAATTAGAGAAGGAATTGGTGGCAGTGCTGTGTTCTGTGTCTTTTACATGTGGTCATCATAGCAGAAATATGAAGTGATTTCACTTCATACCCTGGAACAGTAGTGAATCTCCAATTATCAGTGCACACCCCTCACAAATACCAGCTGTATTTTAGATGGCTGCATTGGAAGCAGCCTGGGGGCTGGACTCTGCTTGCTCTACTGTTCCTTTCTACCAATGTGACTCTGCAGCAGCTATGTCCAGCCTTTTTTCTGCCTGAGGGCTTACAAACTTAAGGAGGCTTCCTGGTTTGGCTGTCTTCCAGACTTTGAAATCTTCTGTGCATATCCCAACCCTTGGGGGACAAGTTTAAGGCTCTGGTTGTCCATGAGTGACAGAGATGGGAATTCTGCAAGATGACATTCAGGGTAGAGAATTAAACATCATTGCATGCTTGGTTTTCAGGGATGGAAGAGGGGGAATGGCTTTAAAAACACGCAGATACATCTGTATTAGGTGATTCCTCAGGTACAGGTAGGACATGTAGAGCTTATGTCCAATCATGTCAGCTCCCCTTCATCCGTAGGAGAGCAGGGGACAGAGTTGCCTTTCTCTTGTAGGGTGGCAAACCCAGTATGTGAAGCTGCAGAAGCGACAGCAAGCACTGAATGAAGGTGGAGAAGCCCCTGCTGCTTTCAGGGATAGGCATGTGCTAAATATCTTCTGTGCATTAGACTCATAGGATTTGGGTGACTCCAAATGCAGTTCGTATACACTCTCCTTTTGGGAGGATGCAGGTGTTGTGCTGCATACACAGCACAAAAGATAAAAAGGTGTCCTTTCTGTTTTGTTTTTTTTAATTTTATTTTTAAAGGAACCTCAGTGCTGTCTCCAGTAACTGCCACTATAGACTTTCAGAGACAATTTGCTTTTGTTTACTGTAGCCAGGGGAGTGGTGAGAGCTGTCTTCCTGTGCTCTTCTTGGAATGAAACAAGGTTTCCAGCACTATTAGCTCAAACTGGAAGGAAGGAGGTTTTGGTGCTGAAATGAGAAAAATAGTAGTAAAATTATGAAAAAATTAGGGATAAAAGATAAACCAAAAGAAGAAATTCAGCAGCTTGATTGTCTTCAGCTGTCACACGCTTTGGTTTGCACACAGCTCCCTGATTTTGCTCAAAAATTCCCTATCTTCTTGGTACTGCCTGCAGCTGTGCCCCAGACCTTGGAGCTGTGATGTGGTAAGAGGAATTTGTCTGCTTTCACATTTGCCAGGTACAACATAAAGTAGAATTGTAGGGTGTGGGTAAAACTGTAATAAGGCAGGTAAGGAAGAGCAAATTATATGCATGTAATATATGCATAGATGTATCATATATGTATCATGCAGATTTTGTTTCAGCACTGTTGGACTGAAGCAGCCCCAAGGATCCGTCTTTCCAAGCTAATTTTTAATTCTGCATCCCCTCCATGTTATAGCCAAAATGTCCTCTATGGGAGGCATTATATCTGAGCATGGTTGTGAACTGGATATTTATTGCTTGTGGAGAGATGGTTATAGCTGAATTGCTGGAAAGTAGCTCCTAAGTAGCCGTTCAGTCCCTCTCCCATCTGAAACTTAGATACTTCATTATTCTGACCTGGCCTATCACACAGAGCCAAATGCTGGTGGGGCTCAGGTTTGGAGAAGAGATGAGCTGGGAAAAGGGGAGCTGAGCCATGCTGTAAATGTATTCTGTTGAGGCCCCTTCTGCACTGCTTAAGGGAGGGAAATTGAAGATGCAGATGTAGTTCCAGGCGTTCCTGTCCCACTGCTGCTGGATTAGTGAGGGATCTCAGTAACCAACAATCACTTCAAGACTCTCACCCTATTGAGGAAAAAAGGAACAGCACTAAAATAGCTCTACTGTTAGATGCAGGTAGACAATTGGATGCAGGCAAGTCTTTCAAGCCTCTTACAGTCCAACAGTGATGCACCTGCTTAGCCACCAAAGTATGTGTTCCACATATGTTGGATTCATCTAGTTGCTTTCAGCCTCTTATATTTCAGTGTATGAAGCCCCTGTATCTCTATTTTATGGTGGTAAGCATGTGGTGTGTGTTGCTTCCACCCAGGATGAGAAATGCACCAAAACCGAAGATCAGAAGAGACCAGAGAAGAAAACAGCAGACATGAAGATTGCTGGTTAATTAAGAATGTGCTTGGGAGGGAAAGTGGAAAGTGAAGTCAACAGTGCTTCTGATACATATCAGAGTTCAAGGACTGAAGAGATAATAAAATGGCTTGTAAAAACTTAAGTGGCCTGGCCAGTTGTAAGGGCATCAACCAATCCACCAAACTCAGGTGCCAGCTGGCAGGCCTGGGGAAAGTGTTTGTTCTTTGTACAGCATGCCTTGCAAACCCTTCTGCAGCAGATGGCTCTGGTTGGCCCTGTTGCTGACTGAGAGACTTAAGTACTGAATAAACTGAAGATGCTGAAGCTTCCTCTCTGTCTCCCAAGGGTAAGCTACTCTATTTTGGACTGAGATGCAATGACTAGAAAGAAACATATGGTGTTATCAAAACTGTCTAGGTTTTCTCTTTTTTTAGTCTGTATGTGTATATGTAATACAAGCATAGCTTTTGCATGGGTTTTGGCAAGTATCTCTTCAGGGACCTTGCTTCTACTGAAACAGTGCAGGCACTCTCTCCTGAGTCTGAGTCTCTGGAAAAGGCTTCATATAAGTATACCTTGTAAAATATGTTCAGGGAAGGTAGACTGAATGTGTAAAACCATAAGAGGAAAAGCTTTTAGAATATGTATGATGGTAACAGGGAAATTGTTTTCTGCATCATTTCTACAAAGCATGGATGACACATAACAGCATAGAGTTCCTGCCTTCTCATGTCATTTGAAGTCTGTCAGCTTATTTGTTGGCTCTCTTTATTTGAGAAGGTGGTATAGCCCACCCCCTTTTTTTAAAAGTATACCATAGCTTTTGAAATTTTTTACTGTGTTTCTTAATTTAAAAATTGTCTGATGCATCAATGTTCAATACCATGAGCTTTTTAGATTGGGGGCTTGCTTTGGTTTCGTTTTTCTTACTGAGGATTTGTAGTTTGAGGTAGGTCCAAGTTTGGAGGCAGGTTTGTGGGTTTTGCCGTAGCCAGTACTGACAGAAGCCTTGCCCTGAACAGGGTCCAGGTCTGGCTCAGCACCTGCTGCTCCGTGTGCTCCCACTGCTTGTGCGAGGGGTGAAGAGAATGGGCCTGTGTATTTCACAGAATCACAGAAATTATGAGCTTGGAAAAGACCTCTGAGAGCCTCGAGTCCAACCTCTGCCTGAACATCACCGTAGCAACTAGACCATGTCCAGTCTTTCCTTAAACACCTCCAGGGTCAGTGATTCCACCACCTCCCTTGGCAGCCCCTTCCAATGTTTCATCAGCCCGTCCACGAAGAAATTGCGCCTAGTGTCCAAGCTTAAGGCCATGTCCTCTTGTGCTGTCAGTGGTTCCTTGGGAGAAGGGACGGACCCCGGGTCGCTAGAGCCTCGTTTCAGGCAGCTGTAGAGTGATGAGGGTCTCCCCTCAGCCTCCTCCTCTCCAGGCTCAACAACCGCAGCTCCCTCAGCTGCTGCCCCCAGGACTTGTGCTGCACAGGGTACTTGTACACAGCCCTGCGTCCGGCCGTTCCCAAACACCTTTAGATTACTCTATCGATCAAAACCAAATACCCATCACAATTCCATCTCGTAAGAAGGGCGCTCCCGCTGGCTGCAGCGTGTCTAAGGCCCGCGGGCACGCCCGGTCCGCCCGCCCGCGCTCTGTGGCCCCTCCTGCGCGCCCCGCGGGGCTCCCGTAGCGCTGCCGGAGCGCCCCCGCGGTTCCGGCGGGCGGGCGGGTGACGTGGCGGGCGGGGCGGAAGTGGCGTCGGCGGCGGGCGCGGGCCGGTGCCGCGGCGGGGCCTGCTGGGGACGCCGAGGCCCGAGATGGCGGCGCCCGGGCTGCTCCTGCTGCTCCTGCCGCTCCTGCCGCTGCGCGCCCGCGCCGACGAGCACGAGCACACGGTGAGGCGGCACCCGGCTTTCCCGGGAGCGGCGCTCGGGCCGCGGCCCCCGTGCCGCGGCGGCGCGGAGAGCGCGGCTCGGTGGGCGGGAGGGACGGACGGGGAGCCACGGGCCGCGGCCCCGGGGGGGAGCGGGCGGCTGCCGCCCCGCGGGGCTCCCTCCGCGCCTGCTGCGCTGCTCGAGCTGTTCCGGCCGCGCGGGCCGGGGTCGGGCCCTGCGCTCCGGTTCGGTGTGACGGGCACGCCGGGGCGCTCGGGGCAGGGCCGCCTGGTTCTCTGATCCGGTTTGCACATCCTTGTGCGGCCGGGCGGGGTGTCCCACCTTTTCCTGGAGCAGATAAACGCCCCGGCAGGTACGCGTGCTTTGTTTGGAGAGCGCTGTTTGCTCTGCTCTCCTCTCGGGAGGATGTTTGCTCTTGCTTCAGAGCAGAACTCCGAGCCGGAGCGCGGTTCTGACAGCCCCGCGGGACAGGGGGTGACAGCTCCCGTCGGGAAAGGGGCAGGGATAGCGTGGGAGTGGGCTGGGGGGTGAGAGCAGACCGGGGATACTGCCATGGACCCGCAGGAAAAATGGCTGTCTAAAATACTACGGATTTGAGCGCTCGCGTATTGGCCTGAGAATAGTTTTTCTGAAATGCTCGCAGTATTACCTAAAAAGAATCTCTAGGAAAAAAATACCAGTGCTTCGTCGGTTTCTGATTTTATATCGGAGAGTTGTTTCCCGTGGCTTTCAGTGTGAGAAAGTGGAAGTTTGTGTGATAAGCTGAGGTGTGATTTTGGAACGAGACTTCCTGAAAGCCATCTCTGTTTCCTGCAAGTGGAGTGGATTTGAATGTGTCCGTGATTAAACACTGGGTCTGTGTGGCTGTCAGGACTTTTTTTGCTCTTGAGTAGCCTGGCTGGTAAACACTTGCTGAGTTTCTTAACATAGTTTTCTCAAGGTGAGGTGTGGTAAAGCTTACCAAGTGTTCTTAATAAAACAGATAAATAGTATTG